CCCCAAAACCCCAAAACCCCAAAACCCCAAAACCCCTTAATTAGTTTATAATCAGAATTAGAAGAAAAAAAACATCTAAATTAAAAATAATTGGTATAATAAATTATAAAACCTAAATTGTTGTGTGAATTTATAATTTATTGAAATGGAGGCTCAATAACATTAAGCTTTATTGGATCCTCAAGATTTCTTTGTAGAGTAGCAGAACCTAATTTAATATAAACCAATAAAAGTTGGAAAAAACCTTTTACTTAATAAATACCTCTTAATAGAAATATTTTCCTTCAGTTGGAATCAAAAAAAGGTACTTAGAGTTACAAGGACATTATCTAAAAACACAAATAGTCTGCTTATTTCTGATAGGAATCTATTAGAAAATATGTGCTTTAAAAATGTACGAGAGATCAAAATATAATTCGATGAAAAATGTTCCATTCAAAAAATAATATACAGATTTTTGAAGGATAAACAATCAATTATTAATAACTTTTATAACATTAGAATTTGCATGGATTACTCTCTTGATGTGGATCCAATCTTCGAAGACTCTCATAGAACATTTGAGGGTTTTGATAATGCAATTCTTTGGAAAAAACTTGAGTCAATTATTGTCTTTAAAAGGTATAATATAATTTTCATAATAAATAAGATAGGGCAAAACAATTAGGGGAAGAGAATTGAATTAAGACTTCTAAAGATACTTTAGACCAAATAAAATAATTCTCTTCAATGAAAAAGATTTTGATGATCTTTCATAAATAGATACAACTTGTGTTAAAAAATTGAAGGTGAAGCAAATAAAACTTAATGCAGAGTAAGTTGAGAAGATTATGAGTTAATTGCCTAAGCAACTTGATATTAAATACTCAACAAAAGATGTACCTGTCATCTAGAATTGTGAACTATATAGTAATTTCTTAGTCAATCTTAAATTCATTAAAACAAGAGCCTCAGGAATCAGAAATCTTTTATCAAATCTTGCTGGCTTTTAGTACCAGAAACTTAGAGGCATAAATATTTAGATTGATAAAAACTGTTCAGATTAATTTATAGAGATAAGTGATTAGTTAGATCAATTCCCATATCTGAAACACATTAAGATCTAACTATTCTATACAATAAACGATAACTTAACTGATTAGTAAAAGTAAAGAATTGTAGATTCACTCAGAAATGTTTCTCTTCGGATGAATTTGAGAAAGTTAAAGCTTCAATATAAAGCGTAGACCCTTTATTACCTATAGTCACAATTTGATAACTTTTATAAAGGGATGCAAGATTGGATATAACTATCCAAACTAACTCATCTTACTCTAGCTCTTTAGAATGTTCAGCAGGTCCAGGGATTCCTTAATATATTTAAGATAGAGAACTAGATTAGATATTTGGATCTAACCATTATTCCTGAAAGAATTCCATTGAATATCTAAGACTTAAAGCCAAGGAACAGTTTACATACATTGAAGTTAACAATGAAAAACAGAGGAGAACTATTCCCAAAACTGATTCTGTCAAGATAGAACAATTCAGTAAGAAAGTTGGATTTACATGTTGCCGTAACTAATAAACTTATCAGAAGAATATCTAAGTCCTAATGTGAGAACTTGTCCTTAAGATAACCTATTGAGGATATAATAAGATTAAAAGGCCTATTAAAAACGTTTAAAGAAACAAGAAGATTGTAAAAAAATCTAAATGTCTTAAAATTAGCTCTGGGAAAATACAATTAGCTCTATAAAAAATAGCCAATAACAAATGTATTTAAGGATTTAATATATTTAACAAATCTCAAATATCTGCAAATCAGCTTTTAAGGATACTTTTTATAGACAATATAGAGCTTATTTAAAGGAGTCTTTAAGAGTTCATCTATTAAAGTGTGTGAAGTTATACTAGATAAAGCATATTTGAACGCATAACTTCATATTTCAGCATAAAATTGTTTATACACAATAATGACCAATTTAGAAAATGAAGTAGTGAAAGCAAATAGTAACTCTGCAATATAGGTATTCAAGTTTAATTTAATAAAAAGAGACCGATCGAATAAATTTAGGTGGGTGAAGCATTCTTAGATTATAAAAAATGATAATCTGGAGGAATCACTCAGAGTTATTTCTTATAAAATGCAAAAGTTAGACAAGAGTTTAACTATTATTTTTGATGATTGGGAATTTACAGAATAGTTTCCAAACCAAAACATTGATTTAATAGGTGTTGAACTCATTTTTGCTAAAATCAAAACTTTTAAATTCTGATTGGTTTCATGATAGATATAGTTTAATAGATATTATTATTATTCGAGTAATTTTTATCACGAATTATCTTTAATAAATAAAAGGTTTGAAGTTATTAATCCTCTTATTTTTTTAATTAAAATTTAATGGAATTTATGGCAACATGGGGTTTTGGGGTTTTGGGG